GCCCCGACCATAGAAATCATGGCGGCAGACCCAGTGGGGTGCTGCCAAAGCACGGAGGCAGGCCCAGTGGGGTGCTGCCTGTATGGGTGAAGCCCCAACAGGGGTCAACCCCATTGAGATGCCCCAGGAGGGGCACGCATAGGATTGATAGAAACCCCAGTTGGGGTGCGGACTGGACAGAGTCCCAGAGGGCTCTACAGTGGTGGGTGACCCTGAAGGGTCACAGGGGCCAGGTAAGGCTCAGGCTGCCTGAGCCCAACTGGAGAGAGTATTGTTAGTAAGCCCAAGAGAGCTAACGACTAGAGGGTGGACTGGACAGAGTCCCAGAGGACTCTATAGTGGTTGGGGGACCCTGAAGGGTCACAGGGGCCAGGTAAGGCTCAGGCCGCCTGAGCCCTACTGGAAAGAGTATTGTTCGGAAGTCCGAGAGGGCTACCAACTAGAGGGGCGCCGGTTGCGTGACAAGCCCAGGGGCGCTAGAGAAGGGGCGCCGGTTGCGTGACAAGCCCAGGGGCGCTAGAGAAGGGGCGCCGGTTGCGTGACAAGCCCAGGGGCGCCTGGCAGGGCGCAGAAAGGGAAAGGACCTGATAATGTCTGGAAGAACTGCGAGGCTTGGGGCGTGCTAAAGGGGAGATGGGAGGCATGCATGGCCCATAAGGCTGGGGTTGCACCAAGTCACCCCATCCAGTACAGGGGGGCAGTATAAGCAGAGCACTGTGCCCAAGGGGATCATAAGGCAGCCTCCCATATAAAACTATATACACCAACAAGACGTGGCGGGCAAGAATAGAGGGTGCTGGATCACTAACTTGGCATGGTAGGGGGCGCTAGCGGGATCACGGCCGCTCCTAGGTCCCACTCCGTGACACTCTCCTCTTTAAGCTACTATGAAGCCAGGAGGAGAAGTGAGAGGGAAGCTGCATTAAGAAGATAAAATAAGTGAATGAAGACATTTGTAATGCTGTAGAAGAGGCTTAGCCAATAAAATCTCACAAGAAAGTCAACTTTAGTGATATATTTTTGACAATACACTCTTCAATTCTCATATAGCTATAGGCTAAGCAAATTATTCCTGAAGTAGGCTAATACTTTTACTTATAACAGAAAGTTTGACCTTTCTACAGAATTGGCAAAGGAATTTTGGATTAAGAATCTATCCTGAAACAGGTCCCATGAAGCTGCAGTGAGTTCCAAAAACTTTTTTTTTTTTTTTTTACAAAGAATAGCTGAAGTGACTTCTAAAGTCTAAAAATAACTGCTTTAACAATCAACACTGATAACTTTGCTGTTGTCTTCTATTCTTCAAGATCACAACCTACTTAAAAAAGTAATCTTTGTCATGAGATATGCACATTTTGTTTCTTCATCCTGAGAAGTCATATGGTTAGTTTGGCAAATACCAAACTAACAGGGGCTAACGCATCTGTTTATGTCACAGTAACCCTATGGAATAAACATGAGGGTAAAAATACATGACAAGTTGTTTAAAGAATCAGGTCTTCTTTTTATTTTGTAGGGAGGAATATTTAATTTCAGTAACAGGGGGCATGTCTACATGGGCCCCTATGGTGCTGTTGTTACTGCGCCATCATGCAGTACTTTCTTTGGGAAGTACTACATGATGGCAGGGTAACAGCCCATACTGCGCTGTCCGCACAGTGCATGGTTATTTTTAGCTGCTATGTCACTATAGCAATGCACTATACTGCCAGAGCACATCTCTACAGCAGTGTAGCTGCGGCATCATGGTTTTTGACCTCTGACACTATGTCGCTGTAATACATTGCTACAGTGACATAGTGTCACATGTAGACGTGCTCAGCATGTACCAAGGATGATATTCCCTAAAGAATATGGCAGTACTTAGTTTTACTGGATATTTTATTATCTAATCTATGGTAACCCCCTCATTCTAAACCCAGAGGAAACATTTCCTTTATACTGCCTGATATTTGAAGTTACATGAAGACCTACAATAGAGTTGGGGACTGAACAATAAACAAACAGAAATAAGATACATTTACTATTTGGATTCAGAAAGCACAGTGCCTTGACACTTCTTTTCAGAAAAGGACTGAGTAGGAGCAACAAAAACATTACTAATAAATGATTTGCTGATGGACCCAAGGCAGAAAGATGAAGTATGCTTATTTACAGAACGTTATCATGTGGGCAGAATGTGTAGGAAATATAAACTTTCTGTTCTACAGAGAAGGCTTAAAAGGCAATATTAAGACTTTAATAAACCCAACAGGTTGAACACTTTCAGGAAGGAAGCAGAAAATGAAGCAATATGGAGGAATATGGCATCAAGCCCACAAAAAGTAAATGTAAGGACATAACTGATAGCTACTCTTTGAGAAGAGAGAAAGATTACACTGTAAGAAAGAATAAGAATAAGGTAGTGGCTTCAATAAAACTGTGAAAAGAAAAACATCAGAGATACAAGAAAAGTAACCTTGTTTTGTGATGCCAAATATACACTTTGAGAAGTAGATGTTTTAAATAAAGGGGAGTCACAGACAGCATACTGCCTATCAGATTCCAGCTATCCTAAAGTAGGGGCGTCAAACTTCCCCCATGCCTTGGGCCAAATACAGATCATAGGGTTTCTCCACAGGATAAGCAGCAGATCCACCTGCCCGGACCAGAGGTAGAGGCCAAACACCTTGCCACCAAGGGCCATGTGTTGCAACGCCCTGGATTCCCTAGATAAATTTTAAACTGCATGTTCAAAAGCAAATAGTTACTTTGTTAAATTAGTCTTCCAAAACTATACAATGCTTACCTATCCAAACTGCAAATTTTTGAAGTCCCTATTCCTTAGAGATGACTCTGAACAAATCTAACAATCTAACATGCTCTTATAAGGTTCATTTGTTAATATTACATATTGTATGAGAAAAATCTGATATTGTCTGTTTTTCTGTACTTGGATATTCAAACTTTTATGAAGGAACATAAAATTAATGCCCTTAATGACAAGTGTATAGAATACTATTTTGATCCTTCAGTTTTGATCTTTTTTACTGTGTTCATTTAAGATTGGAGTTGGAATCTCAGAATGAATACTATTAGAATGTGTACAGGTATTTAAAAAAGGCCAGATTTTTAAGTGCATCTATTTACTTGGCTCCTTATTCCTACATATGCCCAGTAAGCACACACAAATTGGATATTTGTTACTTTGGTACCTTGCTGATATGCACCACAAACATTAAGCTTATGTACATGTGCCTGTTTACGTTCATAAATTAACCAAAAGCAGATGTACGTGTTTAACAAGTATGTTATATAATGCAGATTTTTCAAGAACTACTGACACCTCATTGCATTCTCAGGAAAAAATGCAAACAAAAAATCTAGATACTAGTCTAAAGTAGTGTAGCCCATGGGTCCTCAACCTTTTTCTTCCTAAGGCCCCCGCATCATGCTATAAGAACTCCATGTCCCACCTGCCAGTGCCTCACTCTCAACCTGCAGCCCTCCACCCCCGCGGGTGCTTGACTGCCCCTTCCCCCAACCCTCCAGTGTGTGGGGCAGGGTGCGGGATGTATATGTGTGGGGTGAACAGCAAGACTCATTGCTGCCACTGCTGAGACCCCTGCACCAGCTGTGCTGCCAGCAGCAAGAGGAGTAACGGGGGGGGGGGGGGGATGGGGGACAGACTGCCTCACCCCCCTCCCACCGCCAGTTGCTCATGTCCAGGCCGCAGCTTTACCATGCCACCATGGCCTGTCTGCCACTGCCCCCTTCAGGCTGCCCATGCTGCCACCCAGCCCACCTCCCTTCCAGGGTAGAGCTATAGGCTAAAGTGCAAGTGGCTGCTGGAGGAAAGAGGTGAGAACAGCAGTCTCCCCTGGTCCATTACTCCTTGCACTACTGGTGGTGTGGCTAATGCAGGGGTCCCAGTGGTGGTGGTGGCAAAAGGTCTTGCCACCCCACTCCACCCTCATGCATTGGGTTCCACCTGCTGGGCTGTGGAGGTGGCTCCCACCTGTGCTGGTCTGGGCAGGCTGCAACCCTGTGCCTGCTCTGGGTGCACAAATCAGGGGAGGCATGTTCCCCCACACCCTCCCTATGCACCCCCGTGTTGCCTATGTCCTACCTCCACATTCCCGCCTCCTTGTCCCTTAGGCACAGACCCCTTGAAACCTGCTCTTGGTCCCCAAGGGGGCCACGGACCCCCAGTTGAGAATGGCTGGTCTAGCCTATGTTAGATATTGTTTTATCTCTTCCCTTTTAATTGTTCAACATAACTGCATGAATACAAGACTTTCCATTTCAGTGTTTGCCCCTGATACTTACTCTTTCCCTGTAATACAGTTACACTACTGTTGGAGCTGGAGAGTGGGAATCCCTGTATGCCTATCCTTCTCTGGTCTTCCAGTTCCAGTGGGGGGACAGAGTGGGGAGGGGGTGCATGGAGCTTTGGGGCTGAAGATAATGATTCCTTGTGTGGCTCTCCACCTTTAGAATGGGGAGCACAGAGGCTGAGTGCACAAGAGAGCATTCATTGACTGTCCACTCCCCCCCACAGTGGGGTTGTACCCCTTTACTGGATGCTGCCACGGTGATTCTAAAGTGCTCCAGCAGGGAGGCATGCTTAAGGGCTGTGCACATGTACAGCACTGAAGCACTTCAAATGAGCAGAATTTGGAGAGCCTCAAATGTCTGCCTCTCTCCAGGGCCACAGTTTTTGTTTCCGTATTCTATATTACATTTTTCTTTGAAGAAGAAGAAGGAGGAAAATGATGTGTAAACAGGCATCCCTCCCCACCCTTAAGTTTCTGAGTTTCTGTTACGTACTAGTTAGTATGCAACTACCTTGATGATTTATGACACCAATGGTGTTTCTTTCATATGGGCAGCCAAACAGAACACAGACAACCTAAATTATAGTGCTAGATTACAACTCACAATGCTTTTAATACTTCGACATCACTGAACAACTCAGTTCAGCTCTTGCAGTTCTTTTCAAACTTGAAAAAGTAACGTACCTTGTCCTTTCTCAAAAAATATGATTTTTGATTCTGGGAGAAAATTAGATCCAGTCACAACCATTTCTTGGCCTCCATTTACAGAACAACTGTTGATGCTGTATTTTTCAATCTGAGGAAGTTCTTGAGCGGATCGCTGAGCTATTTTTTAAATGATTGAAAAGAAGAAAAAAATATTTATCTACAAGCTTAAACCTGCACTGAAATCCCATTTAAAATCTGAATATTGCATCCAAGATCATATTTTCTCTTCATACATAATCAAGTTGTGGAAAAAGAGTTGTGGTATATTTATTCTTTACTTTCATTATTTGAATCAAACTGAAATTGTGGTGTGATCCATAAAGAATGAAATGCCAAGTCATGATACCTTAATAAAAGCTTTATAATTTAAGTTACAAGTTTTCCTTGTGTAAGTTATAAGTTCATCCAAAACTTCAGATGTCCACTAGTTTTGCAAGCAGTATTACAATTCAGTATTATGAAAAGATAGGTAAACTTAAATACTATAATTCACTTTTAATTTAAATTAACAATATTTTGAGTATTCTAAAGTAAGATATATTACTGTAAAAGTTTATCCAATGTTGGTATTTTCTTCCTACGGTTGCACTGACAAATGAAAATAAAAACCCTTACTATTGGTGACTGAGATTTTAAGCAAGTGTAAAATCAATTGTTACAAACTTACAGCATTCAACAGGTATGGAAGCAGTTTGCAGAGACAAGACTTTTCCACCAGTCTGTGGGATGTGAACTCGAAATACAAGACGCACTCTGGTGTTCTTTCTTCCAATATCTGTCTCTCCTTTACGGAGCTCTATATCTGAATTGCGAAGTTTCAAAATACCTGCACAATCAATACTGGGGTGAAGGGTTAGAAATTAGATGGAGGACAACAAGTCAGAAACTACTAACTGATCCAAAAATCCTTTCTAGAAGCCTTAACTTTAATCTTGCTTAAAAAAGCTAAAAATGCACCTTATAATTTTTTATTGGTTCCAGTATCTTGGACAGCTGCTACTAAGAAACTTCAAATTAACACCAACTAATTTAATGCTAACTATGGGTTGCAGTTAAAAAATTACATCTTGGAGATTTATAATCTCTGCCGCCCTTTTTACTTTTAAAAAGTAAAATATTACTAATTGTTTTACAATGACACTTAATGACAAATTTTCTTAAGCAAGTCACTCAAATTGACAAATATTTGCAAAAAGGAAAGCAGCAAACACTGTATAATTCTCTAGGGAAAATGGTATAACCTCATCAAACTTGCACTCAACAAGCATATCAGAAACCCCATTCTGATATTCCAAAATTCCCAATTTTTATTTTTTCTATTCATTACACCAGTTACATAGCAACATAAAATATATGATTTTACATGACACATTTCACAGGAAAAAGAGAAGGGAGGGCCAGTATTAAACACACCACCTTAAAGCCTGTTAAAGCAAATGTGTTGCTGCATGACGCGATAATCTATAAAGTTAAAAAAAAAAAGAGTTTATTTAGAGTGAGAGATAATGGAGAGTGAACTAATTTGTATTTATGTTGTTCTTGGTTCACTGGCTCCAAAGTACTGTGGTGTAGAATTACAGCTGTAGTAACTAGTTCCACTTTCTGCTAAGATATTTATTGCACTATTTTGACATCTAGCAGAGAGGCCTGAAGAACTTAGGCTAAAAATCCAAATACAAGTATCAATAATCATAATAAAAAATTAAATTTGTTTTTGTAATTTTAGAAAAAGTAACTTGGACACTACATTTAGAAGAGAATTAAAATCAAAGGTTATGTTAAAATATATATTTTTTAAGATTCTTGTTTCCAACCTTGATCTATCTGAAAGGAATACACGACTAGCTGATGAATTTGGAATAAATATTGCAACACACCTAGCCAACATTTTATTTTCAGGAAGAAGTGGAATTTCCAAAACTTTTGTGCTGGCAATTATTATCTCTTGGCTAGCAGTAGCAACTGTTTTCCCAGTGATTCGGTGCACCTGGTAGAATGCATGAGGTCGTAAGTAGCGATCATCTGCTGTGCCAATGAACATTTGTAGGTTTACTTGTTTTTCGTTGTAGCCCAGGAGCTGATAAAAAACAATATACAATATTAAAGCATTCACTGAATGCATTAAGTCATTTTACTTTATATGCACACAAAAAGTAAAAAAAGGGTTCAGAAATTAAATGCTCCGTGCATATGTGCAGCTGCAGCGCAGCATGTAGGCAGTAAGGAGCACAGCCAGGCAGCTTGGACAGCTGCGTGCAGCTGGTAACTCTGTTGTGGTGGAAAGGGAGGGGGGAGGGAAGGGGCGTAGGGAGGCAGATCAAGGCCCCTGTGGTGAGGGAGTGGGATTGGGGTAGGTACTGCACAGCTAGGGCAGGGTGGGGCATGGGACAAAGACTGTGGGACTGTAGGACTCTGTTTTTAGGTCAGAGATTGAAGCAGGGGGGGACGCTCCTGCTGCTACGTGCACCCTGGGAGGGCATGGGGGGCACGTGTCCCCGGATCTGTGCGGAGTGGGAGGGCTGCACTGGGCTCTTGCTACTGGGGGCTAGGCCAGGCTGTGCTTGGGGTAGGGAGGGCAGTGGCACTGGGAGGAGTTGGGGGGGCTACAGTGAATTTTGGGGTGGTTGCAGCTCACCTCCCAGTGCCGCTGTCACCTGCCCCAAGCACAGCACAGCCCAGCCCAGCCTCTGCCAGAAAGAGCCTGGTGCAGCCCCGGCCCCAGCCCACAGTAGCAGCGCCCCTGCCCTGGGTACAGATCCAGGGGTGCACACTCATGTCCTCCAGAGGTGCATGCAGCAGTGAGAGCGCCTCCCCTGCCCGTGCCCCAAAAATGAGCCACAGCTCCATCCTGCTCCCTGTCCCGGCTGAGCAGCACCTGTCCCAGCCCCTGCCCCACCCCCTCCCTCACAGCAGGGGCCTCATCTGCCCCTCCCCACCACGCCCTTTCCCTTCCCCCTCCTCTTCTACCACAACAGATTTAGCAGCCAGGCACTGCTCTTCAAGCTACCAGCCTGCGTATCGGAAATAGGATCAGTATTGGCCAACACACCTTCTTAAAAACTGGCTATTGGTACTGGCCCCCGAAATCTCTATTGGTGCACCCCTACATGCAATATATACACTATCTATGCAGATATACATAACTGTGGTACAAGATTTATACATTTTCCTTTGACCCAGAACAGTGCTACACCTGTTTGGCACTGCAGGTTGGATGAATGGTGCAAAGCTTGTTCCACATGGCCTATCTGGTCACAACTCAGTCCCATGTGCCAGTGCAATTTGGCCTGTGAGGCCATGTCATCCAGCTGGTGGCCCATAGGTTGAGCACCACTGAACTAAAGTATGTTTCCCATGGTCCACTTAAGGATATATATGTTATCAAAACTTTTAACACTGACTGCTCATGTGATTGAAGTCAGTCACTGGCTTAGATGAAAACTTATCACAAATCATTGTGGCAGAATGAAGGGAAAGAGTTAAGAAAAGTTAATTATTTTAAAAATTTTCTTAGAAAAAAGATCAATAAGCATATAAGTGTCCAACTCCAAAATCTACCTTTTGCAGCTTTTATTTATTTTTTAGGCCAGGGATTGAATTTCTAGAAATTTTAAAAGAATTCATAAAAAGTAAAATTATATTTGTCAAAATATTGCTAGCATAGTTATTTCTGTAAAAAATTTATACAATCTAATACAAATTTAAGTGGTTTAAAAATTAAGGATAAGCTTTTAATCTAAACATTTCAGCTACTTAACTGAAGTTATTCAAACAAGTCAGGATGTTGCAATTTTGCCTGAATAAAATAATCTTATGTTCTTCAAAAATATAATAGAAAAGACTGATTCTGTTCTTACATTTTATTCATTCATGACGCTAAAGTACTTGGAGAAAAAGCTACCCAACTAAAATTGAAGAGATAGGCATATATCAAAATCTGGATTCTGAACACAAATAATTTCAAGTTATGGAAAAAATGGCAGCTTGCCTCCTCAAAAAATAATTTTAAAAAATCTCTGTAGCATCCATCCTCAAATTTTCCACACCATTATTTCCCTCTCCCTCCTACAAAATCTCTTTCCCCATAGAGTTATTTGGAAACTAAGTAAAAACCCACAAATTTTCATACAAAGTCTTGTGGTTCACAGAAAGATCAAACTGTCTTATTTATGGCATTATAATTAACTATTAAATATATAAGTGGCAGTGTATATAGCAAAATAGCTGGCATGCCTCATATGTAATTGGGGAAGTAATTATACCCCATGTCTTAGTGGTTATCTGTCCTCTTATGTCCTTCCACCACAACTATAGGTTGTGGAGCTCTTTCTCCATATAGTTGAAGCAGAATGCCAGGACCTGGCACCTGTACACAAATTTTCTAGGATGCACTGTGCCCATATACTAGGTGTGTTATACCAGCTAATTTGAACAATCTGTAAACAGAATCAGAAAATTAGGGTTGGAAGGGACCTCAGGAGGTCATCTAGTCCAACACCCTGCTCAAAGCAGAACCATCCCCAACTAGATGCTGCTGAGATAGCTGCACTGGACATTGGAAGAGCACTTACAAACAAAACAGAATGCACATTTAGAGAATAACACCAACAGTAATTTCATGAAAGTTTTCCTGTCAGAACAGAACCTCTGAGAAAAAGAAAACAACCAAAAAACCCTAAATGGTAGCCTCAATGGTGCACTGATAGTAATTTGGGGGGCTGATACTAGTAGCTGATTTTTAAGGAGGCATATCGGCCAAGACCAATCCGATTTCTGATACAGTTGTGTCCAGCTGGTAGGTCTGTTGTAGTGAAAGGAGAGGAGGGAGGGAAGGGGCATGGAGGGGCAGATCAATGCTCCCCGCGGAGAGGGAGGGAGTGGGACTGAGGCAGCCGCTGCCTAGCTGGGGTGTGGTGGATGCGGGATAGAGACGCAGCTCATCCAGGGGCTGTGGGGAGCAGGAGAGGGGTGGCTCTTGCCACTCATCTGGAAGGGCACAGGGTGGGCGTTGACCCCAGATCTGTGCTAGGCAAGCTGGGCAGGCTGCAGTGCTGTGCTCAGGGCAGGCAGCAGTGGTGCTGGGAGGGGAGCTATGGGGGTGGGGCTGTAGCCATCCCAAATTTTGCTGTAGCCCCCCCATAGCACCCTCCCAGTGCTGCTGCCGCCTGCCTGCCCCAAGCGCAGTGTAGAGTGGCCCCCAGCTGCAGCCTGCCTGGTCCTCCCCACGCAGATCCAGGAGCACATGCCTCTCCCTCCATACTCTCCCAGACGAGTAGCAGGAGCCACCTCTCTGTGCCTCCCCCATTCCCTGTACCCCCCAGACGAGCCGCAGCTCCATCCCATGCCCCACCCAGACAGCACCTACCCCAGCCCCAGCCCCACTC